CTTAGCTTTGACAAAGCTATGAAATAGTTTTTCTAATATCTTATTGAAAAAGTTGCAGAGGTTGCAGGGTTTGCTTGAAATCAGTTTTAGGAGGTTCGATTCCTTCCTTTTTCACATAGTTTAATGTAGGTTGGTTCTTCAAATGTGTGATAGGGTGGAGGGCAACCGTGTAGTCATTCTAAGTTGGTGGAAGGTTGTTTAATTAATAAGACTTTACGCTTTGAGGCAAAGGCTTCTCAAGTTATATAAATTATTAATACTACTGCTACTAGGGAGATGAAGGAGCCTATAGATGATATAATATTTCATGTGGTATAGGCATCGGGGTAGTCAGAATAGCATCGGGGTATTCTGGATAAGCCAAGGAAATGTTGTGGGAAGAAAGTTAAATTTACACCTACAAATATAATGGTGAAATGAGCTTTAGCATAAGTTTGGTCTAGAGTGTAGCCTGAAAATAAGGGAAATCAATGAATAAAACCTCCTATGATAGCGAATACAGCTCCTATTGACAGGACGTAGTGAAAGTGTGCTACAACATAGTATGTGTCGTGTAGTACAATATCTAGTGATGAGTTTGCTAGTACGATACCGGTCAAGCCCCCCATAGTAAAAAGAAAGATAAAGCCCAAGGCTCAAAGTATTGCAGGGGATCATTTGATATTGCCTCCGTGAAGCGTGGCAAGTCAGCTAAAGACCTTAACGCCAATGGGGATTGCAATAATTATAGTGGCGGAAGTAAAGTAGGCTCGTGTGTCTACGTCTATACCCACTGTAAACATATGATGGGCTCATACAATAAAGCCTAAAAACCCAATTGATATTATAGCTCAAACTATACCTATAGCCAAATGGTTCTTTTTTTCCGGAGTAATATGTTGCAATATGGGACATTATCCCAAACCCAGGCAGAATGAGGATATAGACTTCGGGATGGCTGAAGAATCAGAATAGGTGTTGATATAAGATAGGATCCCCTCCTCCAGCAGGATCAAAGAAGGTGGTGTTTAGATTTCAGTCTGTTAGTAGTATAGTAATGCCGGCAGCTAGTACTGGTAGGGAGAGGAGTAGAAGGATGACTGTGATTAATACTGATCAAATAAATAAGTGGGTTTGATATTGAGATATTGCAGGGGGTTTTATATTAATGATAGTGGTAATGAAATTGATAGCTCCTAGAATGGAGGAGATGCCTGCTAGGTGAAGTGAGAAGATAGTTAGATCTACAGAAGCTCCTGGGTGGGAGAAATTTCCTGCTAAAGGAGGATAAACTGTTCAGCCTGTTCCAGCACCGGCTTCCACTATGGCAGATGCCAGTAATAGTAGAAAGGAGGGGGGAAGGTCAGAAACTTATATTATTTAGGCAAGGGAATGCTATGTCAGGGGCACCAATCATTAGAAGTACTAATCAATTTCCGAAGCCTCCAATTATGATGGGTATGACTATAAAGAAGATTATGACAAATGCATGGACTGTAACAATAACATTATAGATATGATCCTTGCCTAGTAGGTTGCCTGGTTGACCTAATTCAGCTCGAATAAGGAGGCTTAGAGCTGTGCCTATGATTCCAGCTCATGTGCCGAACAGTAGGTAAAGAGTTCCAATATCTTTATGGTTTGTTGAGAATAACGGTAGACGAGCATAGGTGGGAAAAAGGAAGGGGAGGGGGGTAAAATGGCTGAGTAAGCATTAGGCTGTAAACCTAAAGACAGAGATTAAGTCCTCTTTTTACCAGCCCCGAGGTGATTTTCATGTTGAATGGCAAATTCAGAGGAGCAGCAAATTTCTGCTGGGGCTTCTCCCGCCTTTTTTCCCCTGCGGCGGGAGAAGTAGATTAAAGCCAGTTGGTTAGGGTATTTAGCTGTTAACTAAAATTTGGTGGGTTTGAGTCCCATTGATCTAGTAAGGGCTTAGCTTAATTAAAGTAATTGATTTGCATTCAGTTGATGCAGAGCAGAATCTGCAGTCTTTATGTGTCTCAGAAATTAAGCATGGTTTGACTTACTAAGGGCTTTGAAGGCCCTTGGTCTTACTTAACCTAAATTTCTAGAAGATGGCTAAGGTTAGTGGGGAAATTGGTTAAGAGGAGGGTGGTGAGGATAATGAGTGGGAGGATGAGAAGTGTGGGTTTTGTGCTTTCGAATTGTCATTTTATTTTTGTATTGTTGGATGTAGGAAGTAGTGTTATGGAAATGGTGTAGATTAGGCGTATGTAAAAGTATAGGTTGAGTAGGGTTATGATAATTATAATGGTGGGAATGGTGAAGTTATTGTTTTTTGTGAGTTCTTGGATGGTAATTCATTTGGGCAGGAAGCTGGTTAGTGGGGGTAAGCCTCCTATAAATAGGAGAGTAGATGATATTAATGGTATTAATTAGGTTACTTTGTTTCACGCGCGAGATAGTATGAGAGTTGTGGTGCTTGAGTTTAGGTTGAGAGCTAGGAATGCAGTGGTTGTTGTAATAATGTATATAGATAGGTAATAGATTGTGACATTTGGGTTGTAAATTAGTGTTATTATTCAGCCCATGTGAGTAATTGAAGAGTGTGCTATAATTTTGTGTAGTTGTGTTTGGTTAAGGCCCCCTCAACTGCCGACTATCATAGATAGAGTTGAGAGGGTTAGGAGAATGCTTGCATTAATTGAAGGGTATATTTGATATATAATTGAGATGGGGGCTAGTTTTTGTCATGTGAGGAGGAGTAGGCCGGAAATTAAGGATGTCCCTTGAGTGACTTCTGGGACTCCGAAGTGGAAAGGAGCTATCCCTAGTTTTATGACTAGGGCTGTTGTTATAATTGAAGATGAAAGTTGGTTGATGTTGCTTGTTATGGTCCAGCATCCAGAGAGCAGGTTGTTGGAGATGACTGCTATTATGAGAATTATAGATGTGGTGGATTGTATTAGGAAATATTTAGTAGTGGCTTCTGTAGAACGGGGACTTGTCTTTTTGATTAGGATTGGGGTGAAGGCTAGTATATTTATTTCTAAGCCTGTTCAGGCGAGGAATCAATGTGAGCTTAGTGATGTAATGAGATTACCTGTGATTATGGTGGAGTAAATAAGAAGTTGGGCTAATGGATTAATTAGTACGGGAAGGGTATAACCAACATTTTCGGGGTATGGGCCCGATAGCTTATTTAGCTGACCGACCTTTAGGATGGAATGTGGTGGGTAGCATGGAGAAATTTGGGTTCTCAGAGGTAGGTTCGATACCTATAATCCTAGAAATAAGAGGGTTAGGGCCTCTGTCATTTACTCTATCAAAGTAACTCTTTTGTCAGACATATTTCTAGGTCTGAGGGGGGATGTTGGAGATTGCAATAGGTGTTGAGATATGTCATATGAGAAGGGCTAGTGTGAGTGGGAGGAAGTTTTTTCATAGTAAGTGTATGAGTTGATCATAACGGAATCGGGGGTATGCTGTTCGGATTCATAAAAATAAAGAGGTTAGGAGAAGTGTTTTGGTGGCAAAGCATGTCATAAATAGTTCTGGGGAGTGAATAGAGTACAATGTGCCTAGGAAGATTGTGGTTGTTAGAGCATTTATTATAATAATATTTATGTATTCACCCATAAAGAACAGAGCGAATGGACCTGCGGCATATTCAATGTTAAAGCCCAAGACTAGTTCTGATTCACCTTCTGTGAGGCCAAAGGGAGCTCGGTTTGTTTCAGCTAATGTGGAAGTGAATCATATTGTAGTCAGGGGTCATGATGGTAGGAGGAGTCAGAGATACTCTTGTGTTGTGATAAGTATATGAAGATTAAATGAGCCGCTTATCAATAAGATTGACAAGAGAATAATAGTGAGAGTAACTTCGTATGAAATTGTTTGGGCGACAGCTCGTAGTGCTCCGATATTGCATAGTTTGAGTTTGATGCTCATCCTGATCATAAAATAGAGTAGACAGTTAGGCTAGATGTAGCTAGGATAAATAAAAGTCCCAGGTTAAAGTTAATTAGTGGGTGGGGTATAGGGAGAGGAGTTCATAGGAGAAGAGCAATGGAAAAGGCCAAGGCTGGTGCAGTAATGTAGAGAATGGTAGTAGATGTTGAAGGTTTTAAGGGCTCCTTGGCGAATAATTTTATTGCGTCAGCAAACGGTTGTAGTAATCCATAAGGGCCAGCAATATTTGGCCCTTTGCGTAATTGTATATAGCCTAATAATTTTCGTTCAATAAGCGTGAGAAATGCCATAGCAGCTAGTACAGATATAACAAGGAGTAGAAGGTTTGTTGTTAATACGGTGTTAAGAAGAGGAGTTGAACCTCTGATTGTAAAGTTTTAAATTTTATGCAATTGCCGGGCTCTGCTATCTTAACAAACCCTGTTTTTGGGTTGAGTGGGTGTTATTTTGTTAGATTGAGATTAGGTCATCTATGGAATGAGGGCACTTTATGAAGTGGGCCTTATTTCTCTTGTCCTTTTGTACAGGGAGAAATATAGAATAGATAGAAACCGACCTGGATTGCTCCGGTCTGAACTCAGATCACGTAGGACTTTAATTGTTGAACAAACGAACCCTTGATAGCTGCTGCACCATTAGGATGTCCTGATCCAACATCGAAGTCGTAAACCCTATTGTCGATATGGACTCTGGAATGGGATTGCGCTGTTATCCCTAGGGTAACTTGTTCCATTGGTGAAGTTATTGGATTAATTATAGGTGTTAGTCCGGTTTGGCTTGTGTAGCCTTAGCATAGGTTGTTCGGAGGTTTAGTTATGCTCCGAGGTCACCCCAACCAAAATTTTTAGTGCAGGTGTAGTGGTATAAGCGGTAGATTTATGTAGTTTTAATTGCATTAATAAATTAAAGCTCCATAGGGTCTGCTCGTCTTATTGTTTCATGCCCGCCTCTTCACGGGCAGGTCAATTTCACTGGTTGAAAGTAAGAGACAGTTGAACCCTCGTGGTGCCATTCATGCGAGTCCCCATTTAAGGAACAAGTGATTATGCTACCTTTGCACGGTCAGGGTACCGCGGCCGTTAAACATGTGTCACAGTGCCTCTAATACTGGTAATGCTAGAGGTGATGTTTTTGGTAAACAGGTGGGGTTGAGTTTGCTGAGTTCCTTTTACTTTATTTTAACCTTTCCTTAAGGCATGCCTGTGTTGGGTTAACAGTATGGGAAGTACTGGCTTGTTTGTATCTATTAGTATTGGGCTGTTAAGTATCGGTGAAGTTTTTCGGTCTGATTTAGGCTTATGCGGTGGAGAAAATGTTCATGTTACTTATATTTCTGATGGCTTCAATCTCATTACTTGTTACCAATCTGTTCTGGTCTTGCAGGTTTTTACTGTTCAACCTAAGCAGGTTGTATGCGTCTAGAAATTTGTCAATTTCTACTAGGCTTTCCAATTTGTTGGCGTATGATAGCCAGTTATGATCCTTTGAATTTCTGAAGTATCAGTTGTAATGTCTTCTTTTTTTATCTGTTGATTTTATTTGTTTGAATCTTGTCTTTTCATGTGATGACACCATGTGGCCAGATATAGAATCCTTTAAAAATAGTATTTGTATTTTTCCATGAATACCTTCAACTTTGTTTTCCCACCATCTATCAGGGTTTTCTATATTAAAGAAACAACAGGGAAGCCAGGTGGGGTGGCGCTCCCCTGTAATCCCAGCTATTCAGGAGGCTGAGGCAGGAGAATTGCTTGAACCTGGGAGGTGGAGGCTGCAGTGAGCCGAGATCACGTCACTGCACTCCAGCCTGGGTGACTGAGCAAGACAAGAAGAGAAAAGAAAGAAAAGAGAAGAAAAGAAAAGAGAAAAAGAAAAACAAACAAACAAAAAACAACAACAAGACAACAGGGAGAGGTTTATATTGAAGCAGGCGATGCATACAAAAAAGTGCCTTTTCACAAGGCTACAGTTCTACAAAGTGTCTCAAATGGAACACACCTGTAAAACAGAATATGACCGGCACCCAGAGTCCCCCTCATGCCCTCGTCATTTACCCTCCCCTGAAAAGTATCCACTATCTTTCCTTTTAACATCAGAGATTGGTTTTGCCCAACAGGGAGAGCTTAAGGTTGTGGATGTGCCTTGGCAGTGAGAGTTTATGATTCAACCTTTGGGGAAGTGATTGAGACAGTTCACCACACAGGATCCCGGGTCTGGCGTGAAGGTGACCGGTTCACCACACAGGATCCCAGGTCTGGTGTGAAGGTGACCATTCAGGGTATGGAAGGAGAATGACTTTGGTCTGGATGACCCACCTCTGGCACCTTTGAGCTATGGGACATTGGGCCAGTCACTTCCCTGAGCCTGAGTGTCCTCTCTTTAAATGGGGATAATACTGCCTCGCAGGATTCTGGGAGGTGTGGGAAGCACTCGACACAGATCTATTCGCTAACCTCAGTGCCCCTCGACACGCGGACTAGGCAGGACTCTCCATGGAGCAGAATGGCTGCTCCACAAAAGGCCATCTTTCCTTCCTTCTCACGATTGTTTTGGAGCTTATGATTCCCCACATCTCACGCTGACGTCCTGCTGAGCGGAATGTTAAATCTGTTCACTTCACAAATGACACGCTCTCCAAAGCCTCCATCTCTGGCACATCGGCTGCCTGGTGCGCTCTCCCTCGTCTACTAAGATACCTCCCCAGAGAGTGGCTCTTCCCACACGGAGCGCCAGGCTTCTCTCCTGCCTTCTTGGGACCAAGGACATAAGACCCTGCTCATCCTTCACCACCTTTACCTTGCAGATGAGAAAACTGAGGCTCACAAAGTTGAGGGGGCTGGCCCAGGGTCATGCAGCAAGGTTGTGGCTGGGGCCAGAGCCCTGACCCCCAGACCTCGTCCCTGCCACCTGCCCCTTATTATCATGGGTCAGGTGCTCTCACCTCCCACCTCCCACCGGCAGTGTCCAAACCCCTTGTCTGTGTGGCAGAGGGGGAATGCCACGGTCCATCCCATAGTGAGAGACAGCAGGAGCCAAATGAAACTTCAACAAAGACATCTAACAAATGGGTGCATTTATTATTGAATAGGTAATACACATATGGTTAAAAATATTTAAAGCATAAAAATATTTAGTGCGAGCTTTCCCTCCCACACCTGCCATATATCTACCTGGTTCTCTCCTCCACTAGGTAACTCCTCTTCTTAATTTCTTGGACATTCCACTGGTGTTTTAAATGCTTACAGTGGCAAAATCAGATATATATGTGTGTGTGCATGTGTGTGTGTGTGTGTGTGTGTGTGTATATATATGCTTCCTCTCAATTTTTTGATACATGATAATATGATCTCTTCTTTACCTTTTTCATTTAACAACACACCTTAGAGAGCTTTATACATCAGTACATGAATAACTTCATTCTTTTTCACAGCTGTGTAATACTCCATCATATATGTATATTATTATTTTTAACAGTTTTATTGAAATATAATTCATATACCATGAAATACATCCATTTAAAGTATATATTCAGTTTCTTTGTATATTCACAGATTGTGTACAGCCAGCACCACAATTTTAGAATAGTTTTATTATCCCTCCAAAAATGCTATATACCCTTAGATATCACCCCCAATCCCTCCCGCTAGTTAGCCACTAACCTACTTTCTATCTTTGTAAATTTGCCTATTCTTGGCGTTTCATATAAATGAAATCCTACAATATATAATCCTTTGTGACTGACTTATTTAGCAGAATGTTTGCAAGGTTCATCCATGTTATAGCATGTATCAGTACTTCATTCCTGTTTATTGCTGAATAACATTCCGTTGTATGGATAAACCACATTTTATTTATTCATTCATCAGTTGATGGATATTTGGGTTGTTTCCATTTTTTGCTATTACAGATAATGCTGCTTTGAACATGTGTGTTCAAATTTTTATGTGAACTTATGTTTTTATTTCTCCTGGGAAGATACCCAGGAGTGGAATTAGTGGATCATATGGCTTATTTTATAACTTACTTACCCAGTACCCCATTGATGGAAATTTCATCAAGTTTGTATCTTAAAAACCAGCAACCATCACAAATGTGGCAGGTTGGATCCTAGAGTGAGAATTAGGAAGAAATGGAGCTGGAAACAATGGCTGGATAATTGAACTTGCCAGTCTTCCAACTTTTCCTTTCCTGTTCCTAGGGAAACTTTACCCCTAGACACTTACTCTAGCACCTTCCAGTTAAGCCTACCTCGACTCCAATGCAGTCTGTGACTCTGGGAAAGAGAAGAGCCATTTCTCACCACCTGGTGCGGGAGCCCACTGCCCACTGACCCCTCAGGGAAAGCCGGGAAAGCCTGAGGCCCCTCAGGTGTGTCACCCTGGGAGTGTCACTCCCTTCCTGTCTGGGTTTCCTCATCTGGGAAACTGTCCAGAGGAAGCTGGTGACTCTTGACCATGGAGTTTCCTGGCCCTATGATGACAGATCGCTGCCACACCTGGCCATCTGCCACACCTGCAACAGGTGCAGAACGCAGGGGAATTCAATAACCATCCAAGCTCTAGGCTGACAGCCAGCCTCAGGGAGAGCTTCTGGCCACCTCAGCTCATGATGGGACCTGGGAGAGCTGGAGATTCCTTAATACCAGCATGTTTTAAAAAATTGTTTTGATTTAGAACTTCTTAACAAGTCAAAGCTGGGAAGTGCTTTCTGTTCTGATGCAACAGAAGACACAGCAAATTGGATCTTCTGATTAATTGCATGAGTGCAAAGTCATCCACTTACTAAATTTCTGTTTTGGTGCTACCCTGAGATTGTTGCAAGATCATATTACTTCCTGCTCTGGAAACTCAGTGCAGCCCAACTGCAGTAGGACTGATCCCTCCCTAGGAGAAAGAATTCTCCTTTCATCATCTTCCCCTTCTGTGCATGGCAGCCGCTTGAACTTGCCCCTCCAAGAGTCAAGGACAAGACCACCCCATGGAATGTGAGTACTCAGCTACAATGCAAGGTTGGGCAGTTTGAGATTTACTTACATATTTAACATCATTAAATTACAAGTACCAAATGGTATGGAGGAAAGAGTTTCTCTCTTCTACAGAGAGAAATGTATGTCTTAATGTTTGTCCATTAAGATACAACCTAACTTACTTTTACCTTTGTAAAAAAGGTAAAATGTAATGTATTGCAATAATTAATATAGTGAGTTTCTTTCATGTAGAAAATGGACTGGTTTTTAAATAATTTAATGTTCTATATGTCGTCCTTAGTTGGGAATATTTTATTTGTATTTGAATATATTGCACTGTTCTATGACAATTTCCAGAAAGTTCTATGAGTTTGTACATGTGTTCCGAGTTTCAATAAGTTCTCTTGCCCTAACATAAGGATATTCTGTTCTTGTTGGGTTGATTTGCTGTCTGTTTGTTGTAATAATTACGGGAATTTTTCAGCTTCCTTACTTTAATGTCTCAAACCATTCCACCAAACAATGGCGTAAAATTTATTCTTGTGGTGGTATTTCTTGTGAGTGACTAATTTTATGTAATTAAATCTGTTCACTTGTCCTGGGCTTTGTCACATGTAGTTTGAAAAGTAATTTTTAAATAGTTTATTCCTTCATCTAACAGTAATAAGCTCAGTCACTCATTCTGGAAACTAACTATAATAAAAAATACTGGCCTCTCTGAGTCTTGCATTAGCAAAATGAATTAGCAACAAACACACAACTATCAAATGGAAAGCACTTTGGAGCACCTTTGGTCTACCCAGTGGCCTACGAGATTGATCCTATGACGTGTTTTAAAATACATTTGTGTTCACACAGAGCAAGAAATGGGGGTTTGAGCCAGTAAAGCCCCACTGGGAAACGTCTCACAGGATTGCACACTACATCTCTGGTTTTCATTGTTTCATTTTCTCCACTGGCTCTCCAAGTAGAGAAAACAGTTTTGAATTAAACAGCAGTTGAGATCTTAATCTTCTGGTCTTACAAGGGCACACTACGTCTTTGCCCAGGGGCACTTCACCAGGGAGACCAGAAAAGTACCAACTTGTACACTCTTTCTTTTCAAAAATAAGTACACACAGTACTAAGTGTACAAAAGGGCATACCGTGAAAAATATATCTTCTTCCCCCAGGTCTCTTGCCAAGAGGCAATTGACGATACTAATTTCTTATGCTTTCTTCCAGAGATGTTCTATACATACAAAAACTACAAGCAAATGACATATAACCTCCCCCTTTTTTACAAGTGGTGTTGCATAGCATATCACCATTAGATTATTTTTTCACTTATTAACATTCAGTACCGTAAAAAACTCCTTACTATTTTTTATGACTGCATAGTATTCCACTGCATGAAGGTTCCAAATGCATTTTGCCATTTCTCAGTTGGTGCTATTCAAGCTGCTCCCAAGCATTCGTCATCACAAGCAGGACTGTGATGACTAACCTTCAGCATATATTGTTTCTCGATGTTCTGGAGCATCTTTAGGATAGATCCTTAGAGATAGAATTGCTGAGTCGAAGGTAAGTGCGTTTGTAATGCTCATAGATCTTGTCAATGTGTCCTCCATGTTGGTTGTATGAATTTACCAGTAATTTTACAATTAAAATTCTTCTTGGAAAAAATGTCAAGTGTGGATATGAACATTTATTTGTTGACATTTTTAAAATGCCAATCCTGACCCCCTGAAATGCAGAGGCACTTGTTTCTTTTCTTTTACAAGTTTTTTTTTTTTTTTTTTTTTTTTTTTTTTTTTTTAGAGTCAAGTCCACGTCATTGCCACCTTTGGTCCCAATTTAAACACCTTTCTTCTAACCTGGACAAAAGAACAAAAAAGCCAATTTTTTTATTAGTTTATTCTGAAACACTATGAATTTGCAAATCCAATAGGTGACAAAATGCTTTCTAGTTATTATCTTTATTTGCTTTTTTCTTACATGAGTGATATTGAGAAGCTCTTATGTTAAATGTTCATTTTTTCCCTATGAACTATTTGTCCATATCTTTTGCACAGTTTTATACCTCAGTTTTAAACTTTTTCTTACAGAACTGAAGGCTATTTAGAAAACAGTAATATAAATTGCAATCTGTCATCTGCCTCTTGGTTTTATGGTATGAAATAGCTTCAATTTTTTTATGTCGTTGAATTTGATTTATAGTTCTTCTCTTTTTCTTCTGAATTTTTGTTATGCTTAAAAGAATATTCCACCCTGAGATGATAAAGAAAAAATCTGCCATGCTGTACTCTAGTACTATAAATTGTTTCACTGTTTATGTTAAAATATTTGATTTATCTGGGCTGTTTTTTTTTTAATTTGGACCGATTTATCTGGTCATATGGTGGAGAGATGTGGATCTAATGCTATTTTCCCCAATGCTACATATTGAATAATCCATCTTTTCCCACCGATCAGAAATGCTCCTTTATTAGCTAGCTGTCAAATTCTAATTCCTAGCTATTGGTGCTGTTTTTACTCTGTTTCATTGGTCTGCTTGCCTGTGTTTTCGGCATCACACTATTTTAGCTATTGTAGTTTTATTTTATTTATTTTTTATTTTTTAAGACGGAGTCTTGCTCTGTTGCCCAGGCTGGAATGCAGTGGCCCGATCTTGGCTCACTGCAACCTCTGCCTCCTGGATTCAAGCGATTCTCCTGCCTCAACCTCCCTAGTAGTTGGAACTACAGGCATGTGCCACCACGCCCGGTTAATTTTTGTATTTTTAGTAGAGACGGGGTTTCACCATTTTGGCCAGGATGGTCTCGAACTCCTGACCTCAGGTGATCTGCCTGCCTCAGCCTCCCAAAGTGCTGGGATTACAGATGTGAGCCACCGTGCCCAGTGCTGTTGTAGTTTTATAGGGAGAGTTGTACCTGGTTCTGAAGAACACCCAAGCCACACACTCTGCAAAGCCCAGCAAGTCTCAGCTGGGCTGTGTGCATATAAAGCATTCATTCATTGAAAAAAATGTAAATTAGTTTTGCTGGCTGGCTGATTTAAAATTTATGGCTAGGCTAATTCATTAATCATTCTTTTTATTCAGATTTTTTTTTCTAATTAGCCTTGACAGTTGATTTTTCTTTTTCTTTCTTTCTTTTTCTGTTTTCTGTTTTTTTGTTTTTTTTTTAAATGGGATCCCACGCTGGAATGTAATGGTGTGAACACAGCTCACTGCAGCCTCAACCTCCTGAACTCAAGTGATCCTCCGGCCTCAGCCTCCTGAGTAGTTGGGACCACAGGCCTGCATACCACACATGGCTAATTTTTTTATTTCTTGTAGAAACAGGGTCTTGTCACGTTGGCCAGGCTGGTCTCAATCTCCTGGGCTCAAGCAATCTTCCCACCTTAGCCTTCCAAAGTGCTGGGATTACAGGCATGAGACATCATGCCCGGCCAACAGTTGATTTTTCTAAATGAATAGTGTATTGATTTCACAAATAAATCCTGTTGTTGTTTGCATTGCAATTATGTTTGTGGTATAAATTATTTGGGGGATAACTGACATCTTTATGATGTTGTGTCTCCTATTCAAGAACTTAGTGTTTTTCTGGGCACAGTGGCTTGTGCCTGTAATCCCAGTGCTTGGGAGGCTAAGGTGAGAAGAGCTCTTGAGACCAGGAATTCAAAACCAGCCTGGCCAACATGGTGAGACCCCATCTCTACAAAAAACAAAAAAAAAAGAGAAAAAAGAAAAAAAATAGCCTGGCATGGTGCTGCATGTCTATAGTTCCTTCTATTTGTGAGGCTGAGGTGGGAGGATCGATTGAGCCCAGGAGTTCGAGGCTGGAGTGAGCTATGATCATGCCACTGCACTCCAGCCTGAGGAAGTGAGACTCTGTCTCTCTAGCAAAAAACAAAAAGCAAAACAAACAACAAAACAACAACAACAACAAAAACTAAGTGTTTTGGACTCTTGATTTTTAAAAATATATTGACATACCTGTCGTTACACTCCTGCTTATGCCTCAGAGAAGGCCTCTTGAGCAGCGCCACATTTTCATGGATACGAGGGCTCCATTCTCCTTGGTGTGGCCAGGCAGCCCTCAGCCCAGGATGCTAGATCTCATCTGGACCTCTCTGTTTCTCAGGGGCCAAGTGGACTCCCCATGAAGCCTCCAACCAGACTCAGGCCAGCACGCTCCTGAGGCTCCTACTGGATGACCACACGAAGGGGAGGAATGACACCAACTCCACCAGGGCTCTGAAGGTGCCAGATGGAACTAGCGCCGCCTGGTATATCCTCACCATCATCGGCATCTACGCGGTGATTTTCGTCTTCCGGCTGGCCAGCAACATTCTCAGAAAGAATGACAAGTCCTTAGAAGATGTTTATTACTCAAATCTGACCTCTGAACTCAAAATGAAAGGACTCCAGGGCAAGGTCGCCAAGTGCTCCTCACTGACCATCAGCAACAGAGCTGTGCTGCAGCCCTGCCAGGCCCACCTGGGGGCAAAGGGCGGAAGTAGCGGGCCCCAAACCGCAACCCCAGAGACCCCCTGAGAGTCAAGGCCAGGAGGCCTTCCCCAGGATGGCCCCAGACTTCTTGGAGGGAAGCAGCTTTGGGTTTACTTGGAGCCCTTGAGTGGGGTTGCGGGTGGATCGCTGACCAGGGGTGCTTCTGGCTGCTAGTTTGTGACCAGAGCCAGCCACCCAGTTCCTCCTCAGGCTTCCAGGTGCTTCGAGAAGAGAGAGCAGGGCAGCGGTTTCTAGCCAAATTCAATCTTCACTGGCAAAGCCTGTGCTCTGGGGAAGAGTACTGTTCCACTGCTTTCGGAGGAATCCGGAGACTCCTGGGGACATACAAAGAGGTGGCTCCTTGTCATGGAAAGAAGAGTGAACTTGGAGTCGAATGTCCTGGGTTAAAATTCAACTTCTGGGGAGTCACATAAACTGAGCATCTAGCTCTTCACTTGGGACATCTAGGGTTTGGGGACAGATGGTTTTAAAAGGCTATTTTATTTGAAAGACTCTGGCTTGAATTCATAGGACCAAAGTTGTTAATATCAGAAGTTGGAAATTCTTCATTTTCATTGAAAGAATTAGGTACGTCAGAAAAAAAAAAAAAAAAAACTAGAGCTGGGTATGGTGGCTCATGCCTGTAATCCCAGTGTTTAGGAGCCCTGAGGCAGTAGGATCCCTTGAGCCTAGAAGATTCAGTGCAGCCTGGGCAACCTAGACAGACCCCATTTTTTTGAGATGGAGTTTTGCTCTTGTTGCCAGGCTGGAGTGCAATGGCACAATCTCAGCTCACTGCAACCTCTGGTTCCTAGATTCAAGCAATTCTCCTACCTCAGCCTCCTGAGTAGCTGGGACTACAGGTATGTGCCACCACGCCTGGCTAATTGTTTTGTATTTTTAGTAGAGACGAGGTTTCACCATTTTGGCCAGTCTGGTCTCGATCTCCTGACCTCGTGATCCACCCGTCTTGGCCTCCCAAAGTGCTGGGATGACAGGCATGATCCACTGCGCCCGGGCATGTGCCTGTGGTCCCAGGTACTTGAGAGACTGAGGTGGGAGGATTGCTTGAGCTTGGGAAGTTGAGGTTGGGAAGTTGAGGTTGCAGTAAGCTGTGATCATGCCACTGCACTCGAGCTTGGGTGACAGAGTGAGACCCTGTCTCAAATAATAATAATAATATAATAATAATAATAATAATAATAATAATAATAATTTTTTTAAAGAAAAAAGCATTAATTTTGGAGTCAGAAGAACCAAACTCTAGTCTGGGTTTGATTATCAACCACTCCGGTGTCCTTTCACACATCACTTCTCTTCTCTAGAACTCAGTTTCCGTACAGATAAAATGAAGCTAATGATGTCAGATCTGTCAACCTTACCAAGTAGATGAGATCTAATGAAACCATGCATGTGAATGAATTTTGAAAAGTAAAATAAGTATGTAAATATAAGCCTTGTTGTGGTGAATGGTGATGGCGGTGACTGGTGGTGCTAGGCAATGCTGATGGTTTTGGTGGTGGCAATGGTTTATGTTGATGGCAGTGTTGGTGTTGGTGATGTTATTGGTGGTGGTTATGAAGTTGATGATGGTGGTGTAGGTGGTGGTGGTTGATGTTGGCATTGATGGTGGTGGTGATGATGTTATTCTGAAACAGGAAATGACTAACTCATTGACAATTAGTCTCTAAGCAATGGCGGTGTTGTTTTGTTCCACAAGAGAATTCCGTCTGCATGTCAGTTGATGACCTGTGCTGTCAGTTGAATCCATGAGATTTCCCATGTGGACATTCTTAGATTTCCTTACATTACATACCATATGCTTCACTCAAATGTTTTACAAATACTTGTTACTTAAATACCTTTCTTTGTCTAAAAAAGAAATAAGATCTTGTCTAGATGACTGATTAACTTAGGGAGATTCTGATTAACAGAATTTCTACAAGTGGCTTTCAGCAGGCAAAGAGAAAATTATATTTTGTACTAATTTATATAAAGTTCATCTAGTTCAGCTTCTGGAGATGTCCCTGGGGCTAGAGATGAAATATCTTTTTCCTGCCCACAGACAGTGGTGTGCAGTTCACCCCATGAACTCATAATGGTCAGAATTAAACCCTGAGCTTTATTTATGGGGGGTGAGATATATTTCCAAGTATTTCTTTTTCTTTTCACATTTTCCACATCATTACTATCATCATTGTCGTCGTCATCATTGTCATAATCCTACAGGTTGAAAACAGAAGTGTTAGTTTATTTATATAGTTTATATAGTCTTTATGCATATGTTTGAGATGCTTACAGGGCAGGGCAAAACAGGAGACACAAAGGTAGACAAAAATGTAATCCACAGTCATAGGAATGCAGAATGCATTCAAATCGGGCTGAATGGCCAGAACTTAGGTGAATCTGAGGATAGGAAGAGTGAATTGGCACAACCCCCCTTGTTGGTTGGCCCTGCAGTGTGCATTTCCCCCTCCTCTAATCCAGCTGCCCCGAATTTTCATTTGAGGACCCATGCAGCTCTAGGGAAGTTGAAACTACCCCCAGTTCAAGAATTGGAATAAGTTTCAACATGAGAAAGCTGACTGAAAATAATTTTTTAAAAATAATAAGAATAAGTGTTTTAAGAAGTGGGAATAAGAGGCCTAGATTGATCCAGTCGTTGCATCCCATCTCCTGGTCTCATTGCTTGGGACCGGGATGGACACCTGACCTAAGCAACACAACCCAATAAGAATGACCAGAAGAACTTTAATGCGGAATTCTGGAACAAAAAGGCTTTCTCTTGCTCTGGATGGTGTTAAAAGCAGATCTGAGCCTGGAATTGTTACGGGAATGGGATCCTGATCCAGACCCCAAGGGAGGGTTCTTGAATCTTGCACAAGAAAAAATTCAGGGCAAGTCCATAAAGTAAAGTGAAAGCAAGTTTATTAAGAAAGTAAAGAAACAAAAGACTGGCTGCTCCAAGGGCAGAGCAGCACTAGGGGCTGCTTGACTGAGTACACTGTGGTTATTTCTTGATTGTATGCTAAACAAGGGATGGATTATTCATAGATTTTCCAGCAAAGGGCCAGGGATTTCTCAGAACCCTCAGTTCTTTTAGACTATATAGGGTCTCCTTTTAGACCGTATAGGGTAACTTCTGGACATTGCCATGGCATTTGTAAGCTGTCATGGCACTAGTAGAAGTGTCTTTTACCATGCTAATGCATTACAATTAGCATATAATGAGCAGTGAGGACAACCAGAGGTCACTTTTATCACCTCTGATAAAGAAGTTTTGGCTGACTTCTTTATTGCATCCTGTTTTATCAGCAGGGTCTTTGTGACCTGTATCTTGTGATGCCAGTCCTGCTGGCCTCCTGTCTCACCCTGTGACTAAGAATGCCTACCCTCCTGGAATGCAGCCCAGCAGGTCTCATCCTCATTTTACACAGCCTTTAATTAAGATGGAGTCGCTCTGGTTCGAAAACCTCTGACAGAATTGCTGGATTCATTTTGCCACCATGAAGAAAACCAACTTGAAGGCAAAAAAAAAAAAAAACCAAAAAAAAACAAAAACAAAAAAACAGCATCTAGAGGGGAGCAGAATGAGGAAATTACAGAGACCAGAGCCTGTACCAACTGTACCCAGAGCCTTCATTTACCACCGGAGTTTTTCAGTTTGTGAACCCATGAGTTCTTTTTATTAAGTCTGTTGGAGCTTGGCTTTTGTTCTTCACAACCAAAAATATCCTAAATGATACCATTGGATAAATGATTTCCTGAAGGAAGTGGGCCTTGGAGTCAAATTTGAAAAGAGAAGATGTGTGATGTGCTGTGTGGGAGGCTGGGATCACTTTTTTTCACCAAGATTTTTATATTTATAGGCTTTTATATTTATAGGGGAAAAAACAGATTCAGTACATTTCTTACTTTAGCTCAATGATCATTTGTAGGACTTCTCATTGCTTTGAGCACTCAGTGAGACTCTGTACCATTGAATCCTCACCGCTGACTGTCAGTAGACTGCCATGGAAACTCCAAGGGTGCCTGCCCTGTTAGACATGTGGTCAGAGACTGGCTCCAAAGGTATCTCCCAAAGAGCAAAAGCCACCATCTTCCTGTTGGCGCCCAAACACAGATGCATGAGCTCCAAGGACGCCTTCCTAGGCCACCTCTCTGCTGCCTGATCTAAACTCTCTCCCTTTCTGGGAGCTGGTCTGAGAGTCTGCCTTGGAGATGTGTTGGATGGGAACTACGGGTGTGTAGGCTCCATTGTGAGCAATACTGATGAGAAATAGTCCCAAGTAGTATGGATATTTTGCGTAAAGCCCCTGAAATCTGACAAGCTCAGGGTCAGAACCATGAACCACTGTCTTGACAAACCCCATGTACACAGACTAATAGGGAAGGTGTGGGCACCATGGCGTTAGTATTCAACCGGAGAGTGGGAAAGAGATTTGCATGTGCCACCAGCCCTGAAGGAGACAGTGACAGAACACACTGATTCTCAACATTCCAGACACCTACTGTCTTTGTCCCTATGTAAGTTTCCCCTCAAGATTTAGGGGATCAGGTCAGATAAAGGCCTTCCTCTGAAATGGAAATTATTTAAAATCGATAAGGAAGTCATCCAGGAATGACTTCCTCCGGGGATCTGTGGCTGATGGTACCAGGGTTTGTACCAAACCAAATCAAGGTAACTAGAGCTTCCCCAGGTGATTGTAACCCACTTCCTAAATAAAACTTGCATCAACTCGGTTGCATTACAATTTGATTTTTCCTGTGTTATATACTCATCACATTTCTAAAAAATGATTTAAAGAAAGAATTTAGAGACTAAATTCTTGGTATTTATGCATCTCTTCCTGGAGTCACAGGTGGGCTCTGATTCTCATAACCAATTACCTTGATTTCTACCAGAGCAGAAGAATGCCAGCTTATTCTTCAAATACAGTTAGTGTTCTGTTGGCAATTACAGAAAACAGCTCTACCTAGCCCATGCAAGTGTGTGTGTGTGTGTGTGTGTGTGTGTGATTTTGGGGAAGGCAACTGAGGTAGCT